AATACTCTTCTCCAGCACCACAGCTCAAAGGCATCAATTCTCCTTCTATCCTCCTTGGTCATTGTCCAACTCTCTGATGCATAACAAGTGATTGCGAACACCATAGCCTGTATCAGACGCACCTTAGTCTCCAGAGAGACACCATTTCTGGTGTCAGTAGAGACCTTTTTGTTGAGGTGAGCTGAGTAGACAGGCAGAGAGAGAGAAGGGGAGGTAAAAGGCAAAGACAGATTTGTTTTAAAAAGTGACATCGCAGGGGAAGAGATGGGTGTTCCTTTGAGAAAGGAGTGTCATGATGGGGGCAGCCGTGGTCTGATGTGAAGTCATACACATGGCTCTTTCTGATGTCTTGGGGCCAGAGTCTGGGTCAGTGAGACGTGATCCTGTTGCTGGAGGAGGGTTTTTATTTGGGTCCACGGTTCTCTTTGGTGTCACTCATCCAAACCCTGAAACATGAATTCCCTCACTCAGGTTCGGAGTGGGTTGCTTTGACCCTGTGTCAGAGCTGAACACTGTTGTCTCCTGCTGTGTTCCCTGCTTCTGATGGCTTAGGATTCCCCAGACAGGAGCTTCTGCTTCCCCGTGATGGCCTGGAGTGCCCACTGCTGGTCCGTTGTACAGGAGGGTCCTGTCCTCCAAGTGTGGCCATGGGGTTTGTTAGCAAGGCTCTCCGTCGGAGGAAAGGACCCCAGCCAGTGCGTGTTACAATAGCTGCAGAGTAAAACTGACGCCCACGTTTCATCAGTGCTGGGTGGTCAAGTCTGTGAAACTATAAATACATAATGTCAAGCTGAACACTAGTGCACCCACCATGTATGGAAGAGTCAAACAGTTCACTTTGTCATGGGAGATAATAAAAGAAAAGCCATTCATGAAACAAAACCTCTTGTACACGTGAGATCTTTATTAATGGCATGGAAAATATCAATCACCAACCAAAAATTTATAATTGGTATTTTCCCATTTCTATTTTCTGCATCTTTCTAGGTACGAGTCAAAGACTTTAAGCTTTTAACAAAGAAAAATTTTACCTTGCTCAAAAGAAAACAATAAAAATTGATTGCAAAAGCCCAAACTGGCAAAAACTATGATCAATTTATTATATTGGTGCAAAAGCAGACCTAGCTTTCACCAACACTGAAGGACTCCCACACACATAAAACAGAATCATAAAACCTTTACAAGTATCTCACTTTGCAAGATAGAACAACAGTTCTCCTCCATGATCAGGAAGACGAATTCCTTCCTAATGGTCTTCTTCATCTGTCTATCTAGTCTAAGTTCTCAGGTGTCCAGTGAGGGTGGAGGATTCTGCAGGGTGAGTATAAATGCGCCCACGCAGGACAGACGGATCAACTATGTCCTATGTTGCTCATAATGGTTTTGTGCTGTGTGAATGCTTGCATGTCCTGATGCCATCTGATTGTGGAAAGGTGGCCCCACATTCCTTATATGCAGATGGTCTATCTGGGGGAACTCTTCAGGGATAATTTGTGTACCAGGGTCACAAAAGGATTCCCTCCATTCCTTACGTTCCTAAGTTCTCTCTCTTGTGTGAATTTTTCTATGTACTGAAGTGACTCAACTGTGAAAAGATATTCCCACATTTGTGACAGTCCTAAGATCTCTCTCCAGGGTGAATTCTTCTATGAGGGGCACTGATTGTAAACTCCTTTCACACATTCCTTACATTCAGAAGGTCTCTCCCCTGTGAGAATTTGTGTAAGGACAGTTAGGCTGAAGGTGACACACTGATATCTCTAGTCCTAAGGTCTGTCGCCTCTGCGAATCTTAATGTTTGGTGAGGTACCCTGCCGCTGAAATGGTTTTCACATACTCCTTATATTCATAAGGTCTTGCTCCTGGGTGAATTCTTCTACGTACAGTGAAACACCTTGAATGTCAAAATGTTTTCCCACATTCCTGACATTCCTAAGAGTGGAAAGCTGAATATCAAATTTAATATTAATAATAAACCTAGTGTAATATCAGGATATGAGAGAGGCTTAACAGAACCTAGAATTCACCCTGTGTCACTAAGGCATTCCTTAAGAGCCACCGTTGTTCTTAGTTTGTAGTGACTGAATCCCTCCCTCCTGAGATGAGCATAAAGTAAACAACAGAGAGGAACCTGGCCTTGTCTGCAAAAGACTTCCCCATGAGCCCTTGTGTTTGTTTTGTACTTCCTTAGGATTTTACTTTGTTCACCTTCCTTCTGATTTTCCATAAATACCCAGGAAGCATTGCTTGGGGGTCTTCAGGGGAGAACTGCTGGCCCCCTGCTTTTCACACTCTCTGTTCGATATCATTCCTGGTAGTCTGTCTCATTACTAATAATCACAAAAATACTTTACCCTCTGCCTGCAACACCTACGGTCTCTCTCCTAAGTGAATTCTTCTATGTACAGTGAGATTACCTGATTGAAAAAAAATATTTTCCCACAGTCCTGACATTGGTAAGGTCTCTCTCCTGCGTGGACTCTTCTTCTATGCACAGTGAGCACACCTGAATCTGAAAAAGATTTCCCACAGTCCTGACATTCCGAAGGTCTCCCTCCTCTGTGAATTCTTCTATGTTGAGTGAGGTGAGCTGATTGAGCAAAGGTTTTCCAACATTCTTTTCATTG